TTCTGCTGGGGAGCTTTGAGAGTTATCATGTCATGATTTCCCCCAATATCTGAATATGGTAGGAGTTTTCCCCTTATTGATCCTTTGAGATGACTTTTCCATGATTGATAGATTCATGAGATGGTCTAATCTTTTTAAGTTGAGCTTTGATGAGCTCCTGAGATGATTTGTCCCTGGTTGAGCTTTTGAGGAACTTGGCCCAGATTCAGCTGTTGAGGTAGTCTTAATTCGTCTCAGCACTGGCGAAAGTTTAAATTCCTCTTTGATTGCCCCTTGTTGGGATTTCCTTGATGTCAAGTAATGATTTGCAGTTAAAATTATTTATTCACAAAGGATAATTTTAATGCGACATTCATGCAAGTTTTGAAAAATAATCATTTATTGGAATGATGTGAAAGTGCGTGATGGGTGGACCATTAGTCCAAACGCCGTGTTGATTTAACTTGTGTGTGAAAGATAAAGAAAGAATATGATACCAAAACAAAAGATTTAGCAAATTTCTAGGATTCAGTTTACGCAACCTTGTTATAGTATGCTTTCAGAATAAATCTTGCCTCAATTAGGTCTTTTGAGGGTTGTAACGTGGTCGGATTCACGGTTCTTGAAACAAAGGATATAAGGCTCAAAATTTGATTTGTACCCACCCCTTCTTCATGATGAACTCCATTCCTACGTCCAGTTATTTCATCACACACTTTGTCTTCTAAGAGAGTCGATAGTGTAAAAGTAAAGGTGATGATTCTCTTGAAATGACAGTCACCTTATTTTGTTTTTTTTATGTTAGTAACCATTTTGATTTTGGATATGGTGGTAACTGAATCTTATCATATTTTTGCTGAGGATTTACATGGCCTCTTTTGATTTATTTGGATCCCTAACTTTTGTATGGAATGCTTTTTGAAGCTTCTAGTCCACCAGGATTGCCTAAATTTTTGCCTAAGTCGCCTCTTTGGGTGTTCGACTTAGCATGTTTTTCTTCTTTCTTTCCTTTTTTATTTTGTTGAATGATTGTGACTGCTAAGTCATTGGTTATTGAAAAACAACTGACATATCTTTTGGGCTTTGCATGGCTCCTGCGACACTTCAGATGTGTGTGAAGAATAACGTTTGGTTGATCCCTAGATGAAATGCTTCATCTTGTAATTCGAATGCGTAGTTAGATTAAATGAACACTATCTTGCCCAGGTTAAGCGTAAGGGTTTGTAGATCCGAAAGAAAATCCTACTTCTAGGCTCAAAGTGGTTAACTAGAGACTAACTCCTTATCTCTCCAGTGTTTGGGGATTTGAAACAATACGTGTACATCATCGGCAAGGTATTATCCAAAAGCATACCACAACAATTATGGGTATTTTGTTCTTATCATCCTCCCTCCAATCTTTACTAAAATAGTAGTTTGATGAAGAAAGTGAAGTGGAGAAGTATGGATCTATATATTTTTATTTTATGATATAAGTGAAGAAAAATGAGTGAATACGACGTGATTGATTCAGAAAATGCACGATAAATTCATTAATATTACCATTCAAAACAACAATGTTTAAAAGTAAATAACACTTAACAGAAAAGAAACTACAAGTGTAAAGTAATGATATAGGCTAAAGATTTCCAGCAGTGAGGAATTTGAGCTTTTCTTTCTTGATTTACTGCTCGGCTAGCCTTCTTCGTAGTTGCTCGTCAAGACCAAACCCATCTCAGACAGTGTGACGCTTTTGAACGGTAGGATTCTCAACCGGAATGACATTCTCAGCAACTGGAGTTCGTTGAATGTTGTTCTCTCCTCGTGCCAAAGTTATCATAACCTCCACAAATTGGTCCAACTGATTCTTCATCAAGTCAGCATATCCTCTTAACGCATCATGGCTTTACTCCAACGGATTCATGGTCCTTCAAGAGCTACTTCAAATACGATACGAGTGTCGAGAAATCAACGCGAGTTATGGGCACAGATTTATTTTATCAAGTACTATTTAAGAGTATAATAAAAAACTGATTTATTAAAAGGGTGAGTTATGAACACATATTTATTTCATCAAGTACTATTAGAAAAACAAATTTACAAAAAATAAAATAAAATAATAAAAATATTTAAAAGTATAATAAAAAAATATTATTTATTAATATTATAAAACGACTTATATTATAATATAAAATATTTTCTCAAAATAACTTATAATAAAAAAATAGGTAATAACAGGGTTATTTTAGTAAATAAGACTCATTTTATAATTGAAATCAATTAATTAATTAATTATTAATCATTATTTTTGTTTTCAAAGATAATCATAAAAAAAATAAGTGACTTTATTTCAAAATCGTCGTGTAACAGTCATACTGGCGTAGAAGAAACAGTAATCAATTTATGTACGACTCTTTCTATCGTAAATAAATAGTAGATCTTAGAAAATGTTTTTTACTTTTTGCATCAACGGTTGTGAATAAACCAACTGTACCCGTAGCTCGTAGCTTTTCGGGTTAGTTACTATCTCGATATTTCCTTTTTTTTCTTCTTCTTTTCTGTTACAAACACTCACTCCAAGCCTCACATTTCTTCAACTCACAAATGTCTGCCACACCATCCCCTATCCCCGTCCGGTCCGACCGCGTCTCCTCCGGTTCACCTTTCTCCCGACCTCCACCGGTTCATAGACTCCTCAGCCCGATCTCAACCAAACCGTGGCGCACCGCGCCGCTCCACAGAAGGTGGAGACACGCGTCAACCAGGAGCGTTGGACCGGTTCACGCCGGCTCCCGAGCTGATGACTCCGCGCCGTTCGAGATGTCGGTGGAAAACGCGCTGAAGCTGTTAGGTGTATCGGAAGGTGCTTCGTTTGATGATATACTCCGCGCCAAAAACTCCATCGTTGCGTCTTGTAAAGATGACCAAGAAGCAATTTCACAGGTCGCACTTTTCCCTCAATTTCAATGCATGTTTGTTAATTATTCATTTTACACATTTATTTTCTTCGCCGCATAACCAAACACACTAATTTCAGTAATTTAAACTCAAAAACTACAAATCTTATCTTCAAGTAGAATAATTCTGAAGACAAAATCACTCAAATCAACTATGCTTATTGATGGAATTGGTGTGTTTTATTAGGTCGAGGCTGCATATGACATGTTGCTTATGCAGAGCCTAACTCAGCGGCGAGCTGGAAAAGTAGTGAACAGCAGTGTTCGCTATGCTGATGTTAAGCCTGTTCAGTCTCAAGTTGTAGGATCAATGCCTCAATGGATGCAATCCACCATGAAGAAACCACCCGTCTCAATTGACTCACCTTCCACCAGTGATTTTGGTTTACAAGCTGGAGTATATGGCGCGCTGATGGGTTTAACCTATCTTAGTGGTTCTTCTAGTCCCCCTGCAGGTTATGCCGGGGCCGATGTCCCGGGACTTATCTTGGCTGGTAGCTTTGGAGCTTCCCTGTACTTCATGACCAAAAAGAATGTTAAGTTAGGTAAGGAGCTTCGTCGTGTGTATTGATTTTGTGTGCATGATATCAGTTCCTCACAATTCATTGAAATTTTTGTTTCATGAGTGGTGATATTCACATCAGCTCTTCTACATTTTTGCAGGGAAGGCTACTGTTATAACCATAGGAGGGCTCGTAGCTGGCGCCGTAGTAGGGTCAGTTGTAGAGAACTGGTTGCAGGTCGATATTGTCCCATTTCTAGGCATACACTCCCCGGCTGCTGTTGTTAGCGAAGTCATAATTTTATCCCAATTCTTGGTTTCTCTGTACCTAAGGTAGACGAATAAAAACATACTGATCTTTATATTAAAATGTGAAATTTGTAATTATTCATTTGCAATGTCATGTCAAAAGGGTTTACAGGGAAGGCTACTGTTATAACCATATAGTTGACCCTGTGTCAGCTGTACATAACCGGTTGCGGTAGAAACCGTCCCATTTTCGGGCATACGCGTCCCTGCTGCTGTTAGTGAAATCAAAGTTATGTTTCCATTCTTGGTTTCTCTGTACTTAAGGTAGACAGGAAAACATGGCAATCTTGTATCAAAAGCTGAAACTTGTAATTTTTCATTTACATGCAGCATGGTCATACATCAAGCATTTTTAGAATGTATAATGATTGCATATTGTACAAAACATTGAATGAAATGTAATTGTTTATCTAGCAAATTACAAAGAAGCATGCAATTATATTGTGAAGATGCATAATTTAACTTCAGGGCCAAAAAACACTAAAATTTATATTAAATTTGAACCGTCAGATCTTGACGGAAGGAACGCATACAAATACCGAATGAGTATATGCGACAGATGTTTGACAGAGAGAATCCAATTTTTTATGATAGACCTAAAATATTTTAAGCCTGCTACATTTTGGTGTTTTGTCCTAAAGCTTTTTTGATTATGCATTTGTCTTTTCTTATTGATGGGTCATTAGCACTTGCATTATGCACTTGTACGTATCTGATGTAAAAAGTAAAGACTGCTGCACCTTCAGCCTTTTCAGCATGCGACACAGTTTGTGTTTGGTTGAAAGTTTCTTTCTTTTGACAAAGGTTGAAAGTAGTATTTAAATCTAAAGAATCTCAAAAGAAGTTGCTCACCATTTTTAGAAACTTGAAATCTATTAATTTAGTCTATCAAATTTACAAAAGTGACAATTTTGTCCATGTACTAAAATATCTTGATTAGAAAATCTCCATCAAAGTAATGAAACATTTGTATATCATTTTAAAAACAGTGATGTTGAATTTTTTAAAAAGACTAGATAGGATCAGAAACATTAAAAGAAACTGCAACCAAGTGGACATTCTTAACAATACAACAACAATGGCCAATAGCCAACACTAATTGTGCAAAATACATTAAAATTTGATGTCTGCACTTGATCATCTAAACAAATACCTTAAAAATCGACGTCTCAGCGAGCAGCTTCGACATAAACACCAAAGATAACAACAACATAATTACATTAACCACCCCTAATGAACAAATTTCACACTAACTAATACTAGTACAATTGATTCTATTGTCCATTTTGGTTGCTGCAGTTTTCCACATTGCAACCATCTTCTATATACGAAACATTCTCGGCTTTCTCACTATTTTCACTGAAAGTCACAAGATCATTGTACATTTTCTGTGATGCTTTAGAGAACTCTGTCAAAGATTCTAGAACTCGAGAAAATCCAAATTGCATTCCATTCAATGTCATCCTCTGAGTTTCTTGCATGCAATTGTAATGCTTCTCCTTCTCTGCCTCGAGTTTTCTACTTAGTGTCTCCAAGTAATCACTTTTCTCTATCATGCATTCCTCTTCACAAACCGTTTCCTCTTCTGATCTATGTTCTGTTACTTGCAACTCAAGCATCTTAGTCTTCAGTTTATACGAACCTAAATATCTTCGATCTAAATCTTTTGTTAAGCTATCTACTCTCCTCTTCTGATGTTGCTCTTTACATTGTTGAATCCAAAGGGCTTTCACATCTTTCACAACGCTTTTCAACGCAAATACTACCGTCTTATCAGGTAATTTTCGTAGGGAAGTTAACCACTCGTTGCATATCACGAGCAATGGTGGACCGTTGACTTGAAATGGCATTGGCATGTCAACATTTCTGCTTCTCGAGCAAAATTCAACTTCAGGAACTATGAACTTACTTAACCATCCATGCAGTGCTTCTACGTAAGCTTTTTGAGCTGCAGTATACTCTCTAAAACACATGCGCCAATGGTGAAGCTCGGCTTCGAGCTGGAGAGTTGCCAATCCGCGAGATTGGTTGCAAAATTTACCGTACGCTGGACATGTGAAGTACTTGACTTCAGAAAGAATCTTCTTCTGTGTTTCATGGGACTCCAACATGATTTTCCACGATTGTGTCAGGCTGCATTTGGAAAACGAAAATTACAAATCGACGAAACTAACTATTAGTATATTTAGTATCAAGTGCTATACTATCTCACCCTTTCAATAGTTCAACAACTTGAGGCTGTAATTCCTCATCTCTCATTTTCTGAATTCTCTTCGAGATCGACTCTGCGCGTCGAATTGCAACCAAGATTCCAGCATATAGATCTTTCAAATCAGATCTAGTCTTGTCCATGCTTAATTCATCATCTCCTCTGACATTCTTATTTCTCAATTGCGCACATTTCTTCTCATAATTTTTCCGCGTGCTGTCTCCGGCCTAAAGCAAGGAATCAGCAAGATGCGCCAAGGAAAAAAAAGGAAAGAAAATGCTCAAAAATTCTCAAGTTAAAATAACCTAATTGTATTAATACGCGCTCGCGCAATTTCATCATAAAATAGAAAATATGGATTCAAACAAAAGGAATGATTAAATTAACCTTACCTTAACCTCTTCAAACAGTTTCTTTTCCCATGCATATAACCTTCCTAAGGTTAATAAATGACTTCCTGAATCCATTCCTCCATAATCATCAAATAGATCATTCTTATATTCCACCCAACTTGAAGAATCTTTCATATTTTGAACCACCAAACTCTTGCATGATGATTGCCTAGAAGACATGGACTTCCAAGTTATCGCATTAATAAGTTTCGTCGAACTTTCTGCATTGTTATCAAACGGTTCAAATTCTCAAAAACAGACGCATATAATATATAAATCACATCACAATATGAGACATTGAGTAGCAATTCCCATATGTTTGTCTTTTTGCTTTTTGAAAACTTGGTAGTTGGCTATGAGACAGACTAATCTAAGGGGCCCAATCCTACCATCCACTAGTGGGAGGCCATTTTAAAGCATAATCAAAGCTCTGTATGGACTAGTCCAACATAAAAATTGTTATCATCGAGCTGGATTCGAACCTGAGATCTCGAGAGGAGCACACTCTGAGGTCCCAAGCCATCACCATCAGGCCAACACTAGGGGCCCTTATATGTTTGTCTATTATAGTGCATGGCCATATAACACATCTAATAGATTAGAACTCATTTGTATGGTTTAGATGAAACAATTCAAGAAACTTAACAACAACTGATTCATTGTATTTCAGAACAATCTCATAAAGTTTTTGAGATTAATAGGCATTGATGATAGGACTCACCTTTGATTTCATCCAAACTAGAATGAAGGGGAATCCTATTAGCCTCAAGCATCTTTGTCACACCCTTACCAGACTCATAAGCCCTAATGAAATAATCCTCAATATCTTTCAAAGCTTCAAGCAACTCTCTCCCTTCAGCGGGTGTATCAAGAACTGCAAGCCCCTTTTGTTCAACAATATTTTCACTAGCCACATGCACCGCCGTCTTCGTTTTCGCCGTCTCAATGCCACTCATAACTTTCCCTCCACCTTCATTACTCTTCTCCTCAACACTCACTACCACCTTATGCTCAACCTCTTCTTGCCTTTCCACTTCTTCCTCTAACTCCGGAATCCCTTCTTCTTCCCTCACCGCTCTCAAATCATCGTCCGAGTTCCGATGATAGCCATTCATAACCTCTGGCCTCATACTGTCAAAAGGGTAAAAGAAATCCCAACCAAAATCTCTATGCGGAGATGGCATTGAAGGTGGCACAGGCATAGACATATGCATAGGCATTTGCATGTAATAATACTCACATGGCTGTTCATTTACCTCCTCTCCACCACCTTCTCCCTCTTCCTCTCCCTCTCCCTCTTCATCAGAACACTCTGAGGTAGTTGAACTTGAAGCAATGCATGAGTCACAAGCAACAGTTTCATGCTTGGTTTCAGATGGTGTTTGCTGAAGGAACATAGGGTTATTTATAACATTTTCACTTGATGAATGTGAAGGAGAAGGATCAAAACCCTCCTTAGGAGGGAAAGTTATAAGGAAAGGTGAAGAAGGTGAAGAATGTCTTGCAACAAAAAGCTTAATAGCTGCAGCTACTGCATTCAAAGAGTGAAAATACTTACAATGAGCCTCAGCAAGTGCATATCTTCTCTCTACAGCTAACTTCAGCTGACGTTTTCTCTCTCTACAAATACCTACCACTTCTTCTTCTTCCTCTAGTCTTGAAGCAACACACCCCATCTCTCACAAAACACACAACCCTTTTGGCTTTTACTTTAGAAGATGAATGAAACAAGAAAGAAAGATTCTTACTTGATGGATTCTCTGACAAAAAAAGTGGGAACTTTCAAGTTTCAATTTCAAATGGGTTGCTAAAAAAACAAGCTTTATTATGAACAATAAAAATGTTTTTTTTCAAGCAAGATTGAGATAAAACCAGACAGAAATTAAGGAGCTTTTACAGAAAAACATCAGCAAGCAAAAACATGTCACAAACAAACAAGTAACAAGAAAATAACATGGTGGTTAGTTAGTACTAAAAAAATGAATGATTAAAAATAAATGTGGTAATTAGTAGTGGTTTAGTGAAAATATATTAATACTTAAACATTGTACTATTAGGATTAGCAGAAAATGTGGGTACTAAAAATGAAATGAAATGCCATAACTAGAACATACATTTGCAGACAAAGGAGAGAGAAGAAGCAGGTGAGTAAAGAATGTTGGGGCTCGAGAAAGAGAGAGAAGGAGGGGGTACGGCCATGGTGATGCATTCTAGTTAAAAGAACTGTTTAGAGTATGGAGTGATAAAAATATTCAAAATATAAATCATATATTAAATAAAATCATATATTCATGTAATTCAATCAAAAATAGCATATATTAAATCAAAATATAAATTATACATCGTTCACAAAATACAAACTAAAATATAAATAATCAAAGTACAAACAAAATGTCAACGACTAAATATATATGATCTCTCAGTTTGTCATATATCTCATGTACTGCAACACATTTCGTGTTTTGACTATCATGACCTATATAGTGGTCATTCTAGGAGTGTCTTTTTAAAACTTGTTGTTTGGAAATATAAATATGAAGAGAGTCTAAAATGGGGGTTAAATAATTTGTCCCCTTCAAAAAAATTTAATACAAAATCAGAGTTTAATAGGCAAAAGTGAAAATAAAATAAGATGGAAGCTTAGAATCTCATCAATATGAATTCTAACCAATGTATTTCAATGATGTCACTAAAGACACAATCCTTTCAAGAACTTAAACAAAATAGTATAATTCAAGTTGTTTGATCCAAGCAATTTAATATCCCAACATAGTCATGCTTTTTATCACAATTGACTTAAAGATGATTCAATAAGATTGATGCAACGCATACATATACTTATACAATAAATTGCTACAAGCATGATCTGACCTAGATGACATAAAAACTATGATATGATGAAACATTTACATGACTAATGTTTAGAAATTGATCAAATTCATCAATTGATTGATCAACTCTCTATTGATTTCTTGTGTTTTACTACAAAAATATACAATAATGTTACAAGAGATTGTGTTAGCACACACTTTCTGGAGATTCACCCACCACTCTTGTGTTCATGGTCACACACTCAAAGAAGAATAGTAGACTAAAATCAAAAAAAAAAAATTAGAGAGAGATTAATTAGAGAGAGTTATAACATACTAAACAAAACAAAGAGTTTTTTTTATATCAAATCATGAAGTAATGATTTGAATAAAAGAAACAACAACTTGAATCAAATATTGGAAAGAAATGAGTGATGTCATGATTCGAGTCATGCGTAGCGTATGATTTAAGTCATGAAGAGTTGTGATTCGAATCAAAGGTATACTAGTTATAGCTGAAGCAAATAAATATTAATGATTCTAAATTAATTACAATGACAATGCAAATAAATTCTTATAATAGACAAAGTACAAATACGCGATAAATCAAATAATGCATACACATGCAAATTGACAAATCGTCAAAACTAAAATGATACACATGACTACAATTTCAAAATTATCCCCTCTTTATACTCACTTTCCCAATAGCCACAATACGCTGACATGCAGGTAACACATCAACGACATGATCTGCCATAACATGTTTCTCCTCTGATGAGCTGACCTAAGTGACTCTCCATGTTTATCTGGTGTCACATAAGGATGTGACACTCTAAAAAACCATTGAATATATCTGAATGAAAAACTCCATGAATGAGGAGCTGGAAAAGATGAAATGAAGAAGTAATTGAGTGTCATCTCTCGATGAAAACAAACAATAAACCATAGTTAATAAATATACACCCAATACAAGATAAATCTTGTAGCCCAAATAGCTGCATGACATCATGAAACCATTGTTCATCAGGTCGTGGATGTTGGAAATTCAACCACAACCTATGAAGATTTTCACTCAATTAATCTTGATCTCAAGATTATTTCCACTCACGTAATGACGATGAAAAGATTTAGAAAGAAAGAAAGAAAGAAAGAAAATGTTGGAGAAGATAAAGAACAATTTTCTGCAGAGAACTCTCTGCCCACAAACTGTAGAAATTCTATTATTTCACTTGCAACTACAAACTGTGAATTACAAAATATGATGAGATCATATACAAAATAAGGGTTTCTCCCTATTTATAAATTTAGGTTTGCTTGCACCCCAAGACAAAGCCCAAAACTATAAAAGTCCAAAATAGATAACTTAACTAAAATAGGCCTAAGTTGAAATCCTTTGTGAAACAGCCTGCTTCGACACTTCGACACACTAAGCAACTCGACACACTAACACATTAGGCTAATTTAAATAATCCTTGTTTTTGTCGAGTTACACTGCTTCGACACAAGGAATTACAAACTCAACACACCACTTAGTTCATTGTGTCTAAGGTAGTTACCTTCATCATAGATCTTAGCCTTCTGAACACTTCGACTGACACTCTCTTCGTCATGATGTCTGTAATCTGATTCTTGGTTCTGCAGTATTCCAAATTCATCTTCCCTTCTGCTACCTGCTCTTAAAGATAATGGAATCTCATTTCGATGTGCTTGCTTTGACCGTGTGTTATTGGATTCTTCGCCAATTGATAGCTGACATGTTGTCGATCTTCATGGTAATTGATCTATGACTTTTCATTGTGATTTCTTTGACCAGGTTCACCATCTAAGTCGCTTGACATGCACAAAGAGAAGCAGTTATACTATTTTGCATGATGATAATGCCACTACTGGCTCCTTTCTCAAACTCCAAGCAACTAGTGCACCACCTAACATAAACACATAGTCAGTTGTGGATTTTCTACCCTCAGCATCACTACACCAACTAGAGTCGATGTATCTCACTAACTTGCATTTTTTTTCCTTCATCAGCTGCAGGAAACAAAATGTCATAGTCGAGAGTTCCTTTCAAATACCTCAGTATTCTCTTTGTCGCTGCTAGGTGTGATACCTTTGACTTCTGCATGAATCTACTTACAATACCTACATTGTATGTTAAGTCAGGCCTTGTGTGACAAAGGTATCAAAGTGGACCAATAAGTCTTCTATATTAGGTTGAGTCGACATCTTCTTCATCTGAATCCTTCGACAGTTGCAATCTGGTCTCAGTTAGAGTCGAAGTCGGGTTGCAATCTTGCATCTCAAATCTCTTGAGTATTTCATCTGCATATCTTCTTTGGTGCATCATCAAGCCTCTACTAATCTTGTAGAATTCAATACCAAGGAAATATGAGAGATTTCCCAAGTCTGACATTTCAAAATCCTCACTCAAGTTATGTTTGAAGTCTTCGATTTCCTTCTTGCAACTTCCTGTTATCAACAGGTCATTGACATAAAGGCATAGTATAAGCAGTTCACTACTGCTTCTTCTTACGTAGACTTCATGCTCAGTCGTACACTTCACAAATTCCTTCTCCCTTAAAAATTTGTCGATTTTCTTATTCCAAGCTCTTGGTTGCTTAAGTCCATACAGGGCTTTATGCAGCATGTACATCTTTCTTTCTTCACATTGTTTCACAAACACAACTGGTTGTGCAACATAAACTTCTTCGTCTAAGGGGCCACTAAGGAATGCACATTTCACGTCCATCTAACATGTGTGTCAATTGTTCATATTTGTTAGACCAATAATCAATCTGATTGTTTCGATCCTAGCAATAGGTGCAAAAACTTCATCGAAGTCGATTCCTTCCTTTTGAAGAAATCCTTTCGCCACATGTTTTACCTTGTGTCGAGTTACTTCTCCTTTAGGATTCACCTTCACCTTATAAACCCACTTCACATCAATTTCCTTCTTGCCTTGAGGCAAATCGACAAGTGACTAGGTGTTATTGACTTCGATGGAGTTTAACTCTTCATTCATTGCTTTCATCCACTTCAAATCTTTCAATTCCTTAGCTGCATTGACTGGTTTGACATCTGCGTAGAAAGCATAGTGTACCAACTTACCTTATTGATCAACCACATCATCTGATGTAACCACACTTTCTTGCAACCTTACTGTCACGTGTCGTGTTCGTCAAGGTCTGCTTGGGCCAGCTTCATCTCTGACTTGTTTTTGTCAAACTTCACTTTTAACTTTAGTGGATGGTTCTTCACAAGAGATTCTCACTGAATCCTTGTTGGCATTCTCAGTTCGATCCTAATCTTTAAGATCATCTATGATAACGTCCCTGCTGATCACTACCTGCTTATTCACTGGTTCGAACAACTTGTAACCGTTAGTCGAATGATATCCTATTAAGACCGTCTGATTCGACTTATCATCAAGCTTCCTTCTCAACTGATCTGGAACATGTCTATGTGTTATATATCCAAACACCTTCAAGTGACTGAGGCTAAACTTGACACCAGACCAACACTCTTCTGGTGTGATTCCTTCAAGCTTCTTCAACGGACATCTATTTAATATATATGTTACTGTCGGAACTGCTTCTCCCTATAATTCTTTGGGTAGATGTTTTCCATTTAACATATTTCTCACCATGTTCGTCATGGTTTTGTTCGTTCTTTATGCAATTTCATTTTGCTGTATAGTGTAGGGTGGCACCGCCTCATGTACAATTTCTTCTTTTTCACATAATGCATCGAACTCTTTCGACACATACTCTCTGTAACCCGGTGAACTGACTTTAAACAATGTTGCGGATAGCAAGAGTCGCCACCGACTTTTATTTTATCCATAAGGAAAGGTTATAAAAGAACAG